AATGAAGGCGGGGAAGTCGATGACTGGACGGAGACCGCCTATGCTGCATCCAGAACATGTCAGGGGGGCACGTCAACTCATCAACGAGGTGAAGAACGCAAGGGGCTTCTTTCCTGTGGTAGGGCTTGGAGCCTACGACGCACTACCAGGACAACCTGGAGCTGGACGAGGACGCGCGGTCAGCCGTGGAGGACCTCCACGGAAGGGCAAGGGCAAGGACAGGAACCACCAGAAGGGCAAGCCCAAAGGAAAGGGCACTGCAAAGGACAGCGCGAAGAACGCGACGGCGAACCAGAGGACCACAGACCGCGACACCTGTCTTCTCTGTGGAGAGCGAGGACATCGAACGAAGGATTGCCCCAATCGGGGCAATGCAGGAGCAGCTGGAGACCGACGCCGAGCATTCAACAGCTTCGCGGGCGCTCTCTACGAGAACGATCCGACGGAGTTCATCGGGACCACGAATGACGACCAGAGGACGCAAAAGAACCAGGAGGAGGAGTACGACTTCGTGGGATTCAGCCTGGAGGAGTGCATGGGCTACGCACTTCTGGGCGGAGGCGCCTCGAGGTCGGTAGGAGGCGTCGAGCAGCTGGAATACATCAACGAGAAGCTCGAGAAGCCCATGGAGGTAGACGTGGACCAGAACCTGGGATTCACTTTCGCTGGCGGGGATCGAGCCGACGCTCCATCCCGGGTGTCGTTCGAGGTCGAGAGCTTAGACCATAGGAAGATCGAGATCTACGTGTTGGATCGGCCTTCGCCAGTGCTCCTGGGCATCGACACGCTGAAGAAGCATGGGCTAGTGATCGACTACGGTAGGAACTCAGTCTACTCACGCAAGCTGAGGAAGGAGCTGATCACGAAGGTGCTCGCGTCCGGGCACCTAGCAATTAGCCTGACCGACTTGGGCCAACAGAGGTCTAGCTCGAGCCGCGAATAGGGACAGCACCCTGGTCGTGGCATGGAGACTGTGGAAAAGCCGTCACCCACCGTCGCCACCACCACGGGCCCAGATGACGCTGAGGACCTTCCGAGAGAACTCTTACATCCTTTAGACTTGAGCGCGCGCCCGCGGGAAGGGCGGGCGACCCGCTTGAGTGTCCCGAACGCGCGGGCCGGGTTCAGGATGCGGCAACGGCGGGGGCGGAACGGGCGGCCGCGGCCGCGCCGCCTCCACGCCAGCAGGGCCGTCGAGAATATGCAGAACCCGATGGCAGAACGCCGCCGCGTCACTCTCGCTGCAGATGGATCGCCTCAACCTGAGAAATCAGTTCCCGAAGCTATGTGAGGAAATGCTGAATCCCATTCTTAGCTACCTCGCAAAAACTGCCAACTGGATCGAAGGAAAGAAAACAGCTAAAGACATATGGGTATCGTATTCGGGTTTCTTGTGCTGGATACACCGGAGAGTTCGATTCCAACGGTGTGACCCTCGAGATTTCGCAGCCAACATGTCGAGAGGACTTCTCGGGGATCGGCTGACCTATATTATTCGAGAAAACGGTGAACGGGCATCACTTCTCGATCGATTTCAAAATCTCGCACACGCTCGACAAGTAGAAGTATATCGGTGGGTAGGCACCTCGGTCTTTCCGAAATACGTTTCGGCTCAGGCTCAACGTTTACGGCCAGAGCCTCCCGACACCGGCCTCCTCGTCGGGACAGTCTATGGCCAGGTCATGCGGTCATCGCAACCAGACCCGCCAGGGGACGAACGCTTTCATGGAACAAGCCAAGTGCAGGGACTGTGGAGAGACTCTCTTCAAATACATGCTAAATCGGGTGCAGAACGAGCAGTTGGCTCTCTGTGCCAAGTCCCGAGAGAACTTCCAGAGGCTGGAGGCGACGGGACGTGCTCAGGCACCACCACGACCATCATGCAACCCAACATGGAACTCTCCATCGAGCAGCACGGAGACGGAGACGGAGAAGCCAACCACCGGAGCGCCTACGCCTACTTCGGCCAGGCCAATTCCAAGCCGACTGTCAGCGGAGGTCATCAGACAGCTGACGGACACAGAGGTGCAGCAGATAATCGAAAACGAGAGGCAGGCCATCAGGAACGAGGAGCACACCAAGCTGGCCAAGGAGATCATCCAAAAGGGCCTCATCGACACGCCAGGTCTCAACGACAAGTCGAATGTGGACAACAGCCTGTTCAAGGTGAAGGAAGAGACCGTGGAGAAGCCCAGGGCCAGCGAGAGGTTCGGGGTGCCCGAGATGGTCAGCAGCAGCAGCGGCGTCAAAGACGTCAGGAACATCCCAGTGCCGGAGGATCTGCCGACGCCGTCAGGGATGCCGAGGCCGTTCGGGGACTTTCACGCGGTGTGAAACCGAAGATGTGGAGTGCTCTGTTAGCAGCGGTGACAGCGCTGAATCACATGCCGAAGTTGGCCTGGGACGCAGCGGAGAACTACGAGCGACTGGACTTGGCCGAGGTCGCTTGTGTAGCGGGCTCAAGGCTATCGAAGGCGGCGATGGAGCTAGGGGGCAAGGCCGAAAGATTCAGCAACTGGAACGGCTACGACTTCTCTACGCGTACCGGGGCTGAGAAGCTTCTGAAGATACTCAACGAGAAGAGGCCAAGAAAGATATGGTTCTCACCACCTTGCGGGGCAGAATGTCCACTTCAGAACCTGAATCCCATCACCGAGGAGTCCGAGAATAAGCTGATCAAGACGAGGAGGATTCAGAGGAACCTGCCGTGGGCAATCAACAAGCTCAAGGAAGAGGACTTCCAGATCCTCACCAAGAAGGATGTGCTGGAAAGCTGCGGCAATACCACTGCCAAGGAGATGAAGGAGATGGTTCTCACCGCGTGGATTCAGCACTATGGTAAGCCGAAAGTACTTCGCACAGATCCTGAAGGTTGCTTCCGCCACGCTGAGCACCGTGCTTGGATGTCAGGGAACGGCATCGAGTGGCGACCGGAACCAGGTGAAGCTCACTGGAGGATGGGCGTGGTCGAGAGGAGCATCGAGACGATCAAAGAGATGGCAAATCGCATCGCGTGGGAGCTCCCAGACGACACCGACCCAAAGGAGATCTTCACGTGGGCATGTGCAGCGAACAACGACCTGATGCGCCACAAAGGCTACAGTCCGTTCATGCTGATGATGGGTCGTACCCCGTCGGGGCAGGGTCTGGAAGACGAAGAGGACCCGTCGGTGCTCAGCACCCACCTGATCGACGAGAACTTCCAGGACCTCACCGCGGTTAAGAAAGCAGCGTACAAAGCGTGTGTAGACCACTACTTGTCGGAGAAGACAAAGAGGGCGCTGCTGGCGAAGACGAAGCCGTTCAAGACGCGGGAACCAGGCGAGAAGGCCCACTGCTGGAGAAGCTCCGAAGGAAACAGTCACAATACCAAACAGGGCATGGCTGGACGATTTCACGGGCCAGCTACCGTACTCATGCAAGAGCGCGAGATGAAGAATGGAGCTTGCGAGCGCAGAGGAATAGTCTGGTTGGTAGATGGGGGTCGCCTGGTACGAGCTGCTTCAGCCCACCTACGTACTACTACGAAGGCAGAGCAGACGCTGGAAAATATATCAGCGGGAAGTCCTGACCATTCCAGGAAGATAGTGCAGGAGCTCACCAAGGGCTCGTTCGACGACATAGTGGATCAAGCTGGACCTGGCGAATGGGGCGATATCCCAGAAGGCGAGGCAGACGAGCAACCAAGACGCGTGCCACCCGCAGATCACGAACCAACCGCCCCAGCAGAGGAAGGTCACTACAAAGAAGAGGGATCTTCCCCAGGACCTCGTCAAGGAGAGGAAGGGCACGGTGGTGAGGCATCTCAAGAAGAAAGGGAGGATGGTGAACACAGATCTGCTTCACCAGCTCAATGGGACAGCGAGCCACCACCTGAAGGAATCAACATGCGCGAGGCCAGTGCAGAACCTCCGTACGATCGGGAGGTAAAACGTCAGCGAGCCGACTTCCTAGGCTATCCGGCAGAACTCAACAAGAAGGTACCGTTCGTTGCGCTGCAAGATACTAGGCGAAAGGCACCCGAAGGAGGAGATTCAGAAGAATGGAAGGCCCCCTGGGAATCTACCAAGAAGACACGAAAGGAGAACTGGATAGGTCACGTAGGAGAAGAAGCTTCAGCACTGGCCGTCACCGCGGCATTCGAGGTGGAAGAGAATGACGTAGGCATGCTGCACCAGAAACCGGAGAAAGCTCTGGCAGCCCTGGCCAAGCATAATAAAGCAGAGGTGAAGCTAAATAACCTTACTCTGGAAGAAAGAGCTCAACTACCGGCAGCCAAGAGCAACGAGATCAAGTCGTTCATGAAGTATAAGGTCTGCGAGGCGGCTAGTCGAGCAGGAGTGCATCCCGGAGCTCTGATGAAGATCCGTTGGGTCATCACTAGGAAAGAATCGGGGGACCTGAAAAGCCCGACTCGTCGTACTGGGGTATACCGATCCCAGCCTTGGCCAGATCGAGACCGCATCGCCAACGTGCAGCCGCAGAGCGAGACAGATGGTCCTGGGGGTCGCAGCGTCGATGGGGTTCCAAGTATTCAAGGGCGACGTCAAGGCCGCGTTTCTTCAAGGGGATCGAGGAGAAGAAGATCGTAACGTTCTGGCAGAACCTGTAAAGGAGCTGCGAGAAGCAATGCAACTGGAACACCATCAGTGCATCAAGCTGAAAAGGCAGTCTACGGCCTGGTGAACGCGCCTAGACGTTGGTGGTCACGAGTGAGGAAGGACATGGAGAAGCTTGGCTGGGTCGAGTCCATTACCGAGCCGTGTTTATGGTACCTCCGGGACAAGAAGGATAAGTTGTGCGGCTTGGCAGTAGCTCACGTGGACGACTTCATGATTGCGATAGACAACACATCTAAATTTGCCACCGACGCACTTCAACGACTTCATCAAGCCTACGAGTGGGGCAGCTGGGAGACTCAAGATTTTGCGCAGTGTGGAACGAGGATCAGACAGGAGTATGACGGTCGCACAAGGACTTGGGGACGCATTCATCTCAACATGGTCGACTACGCGCAGGAGCTGAAGGATATCGACATACCGACGCAGCGTCGCAAGGACATCGAGTCAGCGGTTACGTCGAGCGAGGCCACTCAACTTCGAGCAGTCTTAGGGCAACTGATGTGGTTGGCGACTCAGGGAGTACCTCTGGTATGTGCAGAACTGTCCTTGCTGCTCGCATGCACGAACACGGCCACCATCAACACGCTCTTGCAGGCCAACAAGCTGATTCGGAGAGCGAAGATAGAGGTCCAGAAAGAGCTGATCATGGAGAAGCATCTCAACCCGTGTATCGTGGGGTATTCGGATGCTGCCTGGAATGTTCGACGAGATGGATCGTCACAGGGAGGCTTCCTGATCTTCATGACGGATTACAGCCTGATGCAGAATAAGGAAGCGCCGATTTCACTAATAGCGTGGGCGTCCGCAAAGTTACCTAGAGTGTGCCGGAGTTCAAGTGCAGCAGAAGTACAAGCGGCAAGCGAGGCGCAGGAGGAACTGGAATTCTGCAGACTGGTGCTGAGCGAACTCCTACTGGGACCGACACCTCTGAAGCAGTGGGCGGCAGGGTGTGCGAAGATTCCAGGAGCCCTAGTACTGGACTGCCGTGGCGTGTTCGATGCGTTGGATAAGTCGGAGAGCAGCGCGCTGGGCATGAAGGACAAAAGGAGTGCACTGGAAGCCTTGGCTCTGAAGAGAGGCATGGCGGCGACAGCTACCTCGTTGCGGTGGTGTCACAGTGGCGCGCAGCTAAGCGACTGTATGACGAAGAACTCCGAGAAAGCGAGGGCGAGCTACAACCTGTGGCAGCAAAAAAGGAAGTTGGAAGCTGATCTACGCCGCGAACTTCATCTCGGAGAAGGCCAGAAAGAAAAAAGGCATGGACACCCTCGACCAGGATACGTTCTTCGCAGTGGATGAAGATGATGCGTGGCAACTATATCCGGATGTCTTGGAGATCGAGACGGAGTCGGAGATCGTGGCAGACTACCGACATCCAGAGGCACGACGTCTGATGATGGAAGACGCGACGCCTCAATAAAGATGGACTACACATGGCGTGTCTTACCTGAGCTAGAGACTGAGGACTCTCACTGACGGTTCGGGGCATGTCAGTTTCAGTGTGAGGACAGTGAAACAAGTCTAGAAGAACAGAGGGATGACAACCCTCAGTGAATGAGCCCAATCGCGTGTTCCGTCCATAGCAACTTTGGCACGAGCCTTTTGCTAGCCTGTGTGGTGATTTTACTGTAGTTCACCTCGGTCCGAAGCTCAGGGGGACCAGACGCAATATCCTGGATTGATTACTTAAACGGAGTATCTGTATCTTATCTCGACGTCCTGTCAATCTTCCGCCACTGCGTGCCCTCCGCCGACCCTGAGAGTACCCTGGGTTCGTCTTTAGGACACGACCGTGGACATAGGATCAGAGTCCCCTCAGATTGTGAGGACATCTCGAAACGAAAGGCTGAGATCCGTGGAAAAGCACGCTCCACTGACAGGGGGGGGGGGTCCGGACCCCCGCCCCCTTGAAGGGGGGAGGGGGGGAGGGGGTTCTGGACCCCCCCCCCCCCCCTTTAGTGTATTCAAGGAGATCCACTGGCGCACTTTCGTTGTTTTGTTTCCTCTTCCAAAGCCCTTCGCAGAGGGGTACCCTCCCCCTCCCCTCTCTGAGGTTTCTTTGGGCGGTTCGCGGTGCTCCAAAATGGCTTCCAAAGAGATAGTCAACAGGTTCAAGATAGCTTCCGACATACCGCCAAGAGGCCCGACGAGGGCCACAACGCGGATCCAAGTGTTCCCGGAGCCCCCTAAAGATGAACCCAAGACGCCAAAATCCGCCAAGCACCTTCGAGAAATGAATTATGTTTGCCGTCTCGCCTTTCCGCTTCCGATGCGCTTTCGAGGCCTCAAGAAGGCCCCAAGAGGGCCCCAAGAGGGCCCCGAGAGGGGGCCTCCAGGACGGCCCCAAGAGCGCCCGAGAGCGCCCGAAGAAGGCCTCCAGGGGCGATTTTGATGGCCCCAGGGCGGTGGGGCGAAAACCGAAAACTCCCCCTTTTTGACTGATAGCTCCCAAGGTGGCCTCAAGAGGCCCTCCAGGGCTCCCCAGAGGGCCCCAAGAAGGCCCGAAGAGGGCTCCAAGAGGGCTCCGAGAGGGCCCCAAGAGGCCCCCAGGACGGCCCCAAGAGCGCCCGAAGAAGGCCCCCAGCGGCGAGTTTGATGGCCCCAGGGCGGTGGGGCGAAAATCGAGGACCTCCCCTGTTTGATTGATAGCTCCCAAGATGGCCTCAAGAGGCCCTCCAGGGCTCCCAAGAGGGCCCCAAGTGCGCCCCAAGAGGGCCCCAAGAGGGCCCCAAGAGTGCCCCAAAGGGCCCCAAGAGGGCCCCAAGAGGGAGGGCCCCAAGAGGCCCCAAGAGCGCCCCAAGAGCGCCCCACTAGGATCCCAAGAGGCGGTCTGCCTCCTCCTCCTCCTCCTCCTCTTCCTCCTCCTCTTCCTCCTCCTCCTCCTCCTGCTCCTCTTCCTCCCCCCTAGCCCCCATTCTCCATGGATCTGACGAGCTCTGCTTCATTACATGTGTCTCTTCGTTCCTGTTCCCGTTTGCTCCCATGGTCAGGGTTTTGGAACGGGCTGGTGGGGATAACGGGGGGGCGGGTGGCCAAAGCGGGACTCCTGGAATGGTATCAATTCATATGCGAAGTGAGCGATGGGGCAGAATCATGTCATTTGCAGTGCCCTAGGCGGTACCGATAATCCTGAGGGGGTGGTCGAGTCCATTCTCATTTTAGGAGAATCGAATTGGTGCAGTGTATCCGTATACATCCAGTCTATGTGGTGTGGGATGGTGTAAGCTATGTGGTGTACTGTACGTGGTGCAGGCGGCGTGATGAAGCTCCGTGGTGCAAGCTGCGGGATGCAATCCGTGAACCTGTCTGGCTATGTGGTGCACCCGGCGCACAGGGCGGCCACGAGGCGCCCGCGGGCGATGGGTGGCCACCAGGCGAAGCCCCGACACACCCACCTGGCGCCACGATGCGCCAGCGAGGCGCCCACGGGCGGGCACCAGCCGGACATCAGGTGAAACCTCGACGCACCAGCCCAGAGCACGGGGGGCCCACGAGGCGGCAACGGGCGGGCGCCGGGCGACACGCCCATCCAATCCCTTAGAGACGCAAGTCCCCTGAATCCTACGTGCAAGCACTCTGGGGAGCAAAGGCTCGTAAGAAACCAACACTGTGGGGTGCCAGTCGGGAGCAGCGGGAGGCGGCAAACGAGGTGCAGACGCAGAGGAGGGACTGCGAAGACGAGGAATGCCACGAGACTGCACGACACCGGCGCCGGCGCACGGTGACAAGGGCGACGTCGGCACCCCCGTCACAGCCCATGATCGCCCCAAACAAGTCAACTACGGGAATGGCGGAGCACGCGACAGGTGTGCCATGATCGGCCAGGCAGCGCGGGGCCTCGCAACCTATCGGTGGCCCTCGTAGGGGGGACGGGAGGAGTAATGCCGCTCTTGCCGGGCCGCCGCGCTCCAGAAAGAGGGGCCTCGCCTCTCGGTGAGCGAGCCTCGATCCCTCGAAGGCGAGGCCCTTCCAAGTCAGCTCCTCGATGATGGGGAAGCCGACTGCTCTTCTGCAGCAGGCGGCGAAGGCCAGCGGAAGCTGGGGCGGGAGCAGAACCAGGGCAGCTCGCGCTGGCGGAAGGCTGCTGGAAGGCGGCATGGGCAAAAGATGGCCGCAGGGCTTCTGGAACCCAGCGCACCGCCTGCGGCTTCGATTGGGGGTGCGATCGGGATAACGCGTGAGCAATGTGCCACGGTCGTGGACGCGCTGGGGATGTACGCCCTGATCGCCACAACACGTCCGCGGCAAAGTCTGCAAGTCTGTGCAAGATCCATTGCCCCCCTTGCATTCGAAAACATGACCCCAGCGCGACACCAAATAGGGGAACGCTCCCTAAGCGGCATTGCTTGGATTTGCTTTGCAGCACCAGGCATTTGCTTGGCAGTGCATCGCTTTTCATTGATTTGAATCGCTTGGAGTTTATTGGCATTGTTCAGCATTTTTTGGCATCGCTCGACGTTGCTTAGCTTTGCTTGGCGATGCTTAGCATGTTTGGGCTTTGCTTGGCAATATTTGGCATTGATTGGTATTGCCGTGCTTTGCTTTGCTTTGCCTGGCTTTGATTTGCTTGGTATTGATTTGCCTTGAATGGCAATGCTTGGCATTGCTTTCGATTGTCTTGCATTGCCTGACATTGCTTGGCATTGCTGGGCATTGCTTGGCATTGCTTGGCAGTATTTGGCATTGTTGGCATTGCTTGGCATTGCTTAGCATAGCTCTGCCTTTCTTGGCGTTGCTTGGCATGGCTTGGCACTTATGCCCGTTGATTGGCAATGCCTGGCATTGCTTGGCAACCTGGGGAAAGCCTCTTCGAAAACACAGAGCACACAAGACCAAGGAACCCCAGGGATTCAGGGCCCCCGGGAAAGGCTGGCCTGTCAAAACAGGCAAGGAACAAGACTGGAGACGCCGGGAGAACCTGCATGGGGAATTCTAGGAACGCCGACCAGCGCAGGCCGCGCACCCCCAGCGGTAACTCAAAAACAGCAAGGAGCTCTCAGGCAAGCCGAATGGGGAATCTGCAACGTGATTCTTGAGATCTGCTTCAAACGGGCTGTCAGGGGGCGTACAAGGAAAATGCCAAAACGTCTTGACGTGGCCAGTCTAGTCTTCCCGGAAGGATGAGGGCGGATGGAGAGAAGGAGCTTGAGGAGAGGAATGAATCCGCCGACCCCTTGGGGTTCATCGGCTTGTGAGATGTTCCCCCTCCCCAAACCCCTCCCCCGGGAGCTCGGTCCGGTCGATTTGGAGGGGGGGGGGGGGTCGGGCGAAATGCCCCGGATTGCCCCGGATTGCCCCGGAGGGGCCATCCGCCCCCGAAAATCGAACAATACCTCGTGAAAATCGTGCTGGGACTCCTCTGGTGGCCTCGAAATGGTTCCGGGACGCCCAACGAGCGCTCCAAGACGCCCAAGGTGGCCCAAAGACGGGCCACGAGGCCTCCTCGACGGCAGAAGAGGTCCCCACGAGTCCCCCAGAGGCCTCCGAGATGCGCCCCAAGAGGGCCCTCAGACGCAAAAAATTGCCCATTCCCTCCGTGAAACGTACATTTTTCACAAGTTCGGCTTCTGGGTTTGCCGCTGATCCAAGACGGCCAGGAGGCTCCCAAACCCGCCCCCAGACGGCTGAAAAAGCCTCCAAAAGGGTCCCCCACATACCCCTAGAGGGCCCCAAGACGCGCCCACAGGCGTCCAAGACGGCCCAAGAGGGCTCCGAAAACGGCCCCAAGAGCGCTCCAGGAGCGCTCCGAGTGGCCGCCAAGAGAGCTCCACATGGTCGCAGACGGTCCAAGAGCGATCACAAACATCAAGGACGGCTTCCAGACGGCTCAAGAGGCCCCCAAAACGCCCCAAGAGGCATCCAATATGCGCTCTAGACGCAAAAAAATCGCCCGTTCCTTTCGTAAAACGTACACTTTTTCACGCGTGCGCCTTTGGGGTGCCCACCGCTCCTGGACGGCCCCAGAGCCCCCCAAACCCGCTCCCAGACGGCCCAAGAAGCCTCCAAGAGGGTCCCAAAAATAGGCCCAGAGGGCCCCAAGACGGGCCCACAGGCGTCCACGACGGCCCAAGAGGGCTCCGAAGACGGCCCCAAGAGCGCTCCAGGAGCGCTCCGAGTGGCCGCCAAGAGAGCTCCACATGGTCCCAGACAGTCCAAGAGCGATCAACAACACCGCCGACGGCTTCCAGACGGCTCAAGAGGCCCCCAAGACGCCCCAAGAGGCATCCAATATGCGCTCTAGACGCAAAAAATCGCCCGTTCCTTTCGTAAAACGTACACTTTTTCACGCGTGCGCCTTTGGGGTGCCCACCGCTCCTGGACGGCCCCAGAGCCCCCCAAACCCGCTCCCAGACGGCCCAAGAAGCCTCCAAGAGGGTCCCAAAAATAAGCCTAGAGGGCCCCAAGACGGGCCCACAGGCG